GTACTGGCTGCTAAAAAAGACCTTTTAATGCCAACCTGTCTTGCTTAGACATTTCAGTCCACAAAATAGCATTTGCCAAAATGCTTCTTAAACTCTCCAAGACTTGGAGCTGCTACCATATAGAGAATAATGTGAGCTATTTATAAAACATCTAGCATGTTGGTGGTTTCTTTCCAGATTGTAAAGAGATTTTCCACCCCTTAAGTAAAAATTAGGCTGTTCCCCAGTGTAAGTGGGAAAACGCATTTTGTAACCATCCACGTCATTCTCGTAATCTGGCAGTATTCCGTTAGCTTTAGCTTAGCATAAACAATTAAATGAATGGTAACAGCTAGCATATCGTGTGAAAAAGTCATGGAAATGACTCAATAATCACCCACATTTTTCTCGATGACTTCAATAATTGACTGCAGCTGAAAATAATAAGTAACACAAGGGAATTACAGGAGCTAATTTAGATTTGGGATTACATTACGGCTAAGCACCGATGTGAGATGATGCATGTTATACAGAAAACCTGGAAGTGACTATGTCTGCCAGATGTTCTGATGATGTGTGTCGTGTCTGTGCACCTCGCAGTGGCGGCTTACAGTGGTGCTTTGTTGTGATGTAGTGTAGCGTCCAGAAATGGTCAGTTTTTCATCTATATATTGGCCTTTCCAGAGACAGGTCATCTTCAGGCATTAATCTGCCTCTGTGCATCTTCTAATCTTCCAAGCTGCAAGAAAGATTCCACAGTGCGTGTTGACACTTAGATTGTCAACATCATGCTCCTTCCTCAACGACTCTCTGCCGAGCTGCGGCTTATCGATATGCCTCACGGAATAAAAGATGAACTTTTATAATGAAATCATATAATGGAATGAACAATATGGTTAATTAAATCAGGTAATGAATGGACAAGGTGTTAAATGAAATGTTTTGATTAATCTGTGCTTGAATTAATAAGGTTGACTGAAGATGACCGGTCTCTGAAAAGGCCAATGTATAGATGAAAATTCAATTTAAAAATACTTTATTAATCCCAGAGGGAAATTGATTGCTGTAGTAGCTCATAATAATAATAATAATCAAGTCATCAAAGAGTTGTTGTATATTACAATGGCTGTTGGCAGGAAGGATCTCCAGTAGCGGTCAGTGTTGCAGCGAAACTGAAGAAGCCTCTGACTGAAGACACTCTTCCGTTGTCAGACAGTCTTGTGAAGAGAACGCTCAGGGTTGTCCATCATTTTCTTGATTCTCTGGAGAATCTTTCTTTGCATTATCTCCTCCAGCGGTTCTGAAACTGCCGAAACTCTGGCTGAGTTCTTGAAAGGGCTTGGAGTTCCTCCATCTTGTTGGCCAGAGATCTCACATTGCCCATTATGATCGATGGAAGAGATGGTTTGAATTTCCTCTTTCTCTGTCTCCGTTTTGCTCCCGCTCTGCATCCACACTTCTTGCGTTTTAGCTCATTTGGGATTTGTGGCTTCAGTTGAGGTATTATTTCAGCCTTTCCCATGTTAAGCAGCTGCTCCCGATTGTAAACTGCTTGTTGCCATGGTTACGCATCATAACAAATGCTCAAAAAGTGAAAAAAGATAAAAAATAGCAGTAAAAATCCTCCAAGCTTCACAGCACCAGAAACAGAAAAGTGAAGTGTCCAAAAAAATACAGTTTTTCTTGAGAAACTAGAAGAAAAAATGCCCAAGAAAAGGCAAAACTTACATATAGTCAACAGAGCTACATGCAGCCGCCCAGAGCAGCGCAGTTTCGGAAAAAAAACTGATCATTTCTGGACGCTACAGTAGTCCCAAGTGTAAATCTGCTCCTGTAATTCCTTTGTGTTTACTTAATATTGTCATTCATAGTCAATATGATTGATGAGGTCATAAAAAAAATTTGGATCATTATTGAATAATTTGAATGACTTTTTCACAGAAAATGCTAGCTGTTACCATTATATTACATTGTTTATGCTAAGATTAGGAGAATGGCTGGGCGAGTTACAAAAGCCCCCCCAAGCAGAAAAGAAGATACTGAAATGACGAATCAGAATTCATTACAATGAATAGGCAGTTTTAAACAGGTGACTTTTAGGCTGGGATGAGACCATGGTTCTCGACTGGAAAAGGGTGGCTTGCCAACTCCGGGTCGGGAGAGAGGTCCTACCTCAAGTGGAGGAGTTTAATTATCTCTGGGTCTTGTTCACGAGTGAGGGTAGGAGGGATCGGGAGATCGACAGGCGGATTGGTTCAGCGTCTGCAGTGATGCGGACGCTGAACCGATCTGTCGTGGTGAAGAGGGAGCTGAGCCAGAAAGCCAGGCTCTCGATTTACCGGTCGATCTACGTCCCAATCCTCACCTATGGTCATGAGCTTTGGAAAGAACGAGATCGCGGATACAAGCGACCGAAATGAGTTTCCTCCGTAGGGTGGCTGGGCTCAACCTTAGAGATAGGGTGAGGAGCTCGGACATTCGGGAGGGACTCGGAGTAGAACCGCTGCTCCTCCGGATCGAAAGGAGTCAGTTGAGGTGGTTTGGGCATCTGGTCAGGATGCCTCCTGGACGCCTCCCTGGGAAAGTGTTTCGGGCATGTCCTGCCGGCAGGAGGCCCTCGGGTCGACCCAGGACACACTGGAGAGGTTACATCTCCAATCTGGTCCGGGAACGCCTTGGGGTCCTGCCGGAGGAGCTGGTGGAGGTGGCTGGAGAGAGGATGGTCTGGAGCTCCCTAGTTGGGATGCTGCCCCCGCGACCCGGACCCGGATAAGCGGAGGAAGAAGACGACGACGACTTTTAGGTTTAGTGGTGGAGAGATGTGGTGTTATGGAGTTTAACTGGTAAAGAATTGCACAGTGAGGGTGCAGATCTACTGAATGCTCGACTTCTTATGGTGACAAGTCGAGCAGAGGGGTTGCATAGGTTGATAGAGGCTGTGGATCTGAGCATACAGGAGGGTGCAGGTGTTTGTAGGAGCTGAGAAAGATATGTAGGGGCAAGGTTGTGAATGGCCTTAAGTGAAAGAAGTAGCAATTCATAAATGATCCTGAACCTTATTGGCAGCAGTGAAGCAGCATAATGAGGGTGATGTGATTAGAGATGTTCTACAATGACGCATGCTGCAGAGTTTAGAACAAATTAAGTTTGTGCAAAGACCTCTGAGGCAGACTACAGAGGAGGGAATTACAGCAGTCCAAGTGAGAGGTGGCCAGAAAATTTACTAAGATGGCGGTTGTGTGATTAGAGAGTAATGCGATAGTAGGCTGAAAGGGTAACTGCACTGATATGGGCAGCAGTAGTTCAGGAGGTTAAGTGGGTTATCCAATAATTAAAGGGTTGTGGGATTGAGCCCGGCTCCCGGTGGAGAGTGCTGCTATTGTGTCCTTGGGCAAGACACAAGGTGCAATATGGAACAAACACCAACGCAACATCTAGTGTGTGGAGGTTGTAGCTGCAACATTAGAACAAGGCTTCCAGCCATCTGGATGTCATGTTTGCTGCCATTATGTGAAATTTGGTATTTGAGCCCATCTGTTGTAGGCTTCACCTAAACCAGGCGTGGGGAACCCCGGTCCTCGAGGGTCGGTATCCTGCATGTCTTTGCTCCAACACTTCTGATTCAGTGGTTGATTAACCTTTTCAGCAGCTCACCAGGCTCTGCAAAGGCCTGTTAATCACCTGCTGATTGAAATCAGGTGTGTTGAGGCAGGGTTGAAACTAAAATATGCTGGATAGCGGCCCTCGATGGATCGGGGTTCCCCACCCCTGACCTAAACTCAATCTGGCTTTAGATCTTTTAGGGTCGCTTCTTCTGAGAATGATAATGACATCTTCTGGGCTCAGAAGCAGCTGCTTGACTTGCCGAGTCCACAATTTTCTACAGTGCCAGCCTCGCTGTGCCAAGTGGACTGTTTGGCAACCCACAACTGTGCCCTCTACTGGCTGGCAGATGTAAACTCTAACCCGGTGTTGTGAATGGCAAAATAAATATTTGATTATTTTTTAAATAAATTATAGCTGTTAAAGGAAATGCTGTACCCTCTTTCTGCACACCTCTAAATGCCCCATGGATGCATTACTTAAAAAATATGTAGCTTTTAATCAAACTGTTCTATATTCAACCTTTAACCCACCTTGCCTGCTGGTGGTAGTCAGAGGGACAGGTGGCGCCTGTGCTCGGAAGCCTCGTCTCAGTTAGTGCGCCCCAGGGCGGCTGTGGCTACAACGTAGCTCATCACCATCAGTGTGTGTGAATGGATGAATGATACATTGTAGTGTAAAATCTTACTCCTAAAAGTGTCATACAAGTGTGGCTCATTTATCATTATCATGCGAGTGGTAAAACAGGGTACTGTCTAGAAAGACACCAAGGCTTTTTATCTGGTCCAAACAGGAAACTGTAGATTTGTCATTGGACAATGAGAAGGTTCCCACCTTCCCTAGTGCAGATTTTATACCCATGAGATGGACTTCACTTTTATTGGAGTTCAACATAAATAAATTGAAAGAAAAGCCACAACCTAATTTCTGATATGCAGCGTGATTAGCATAACAATGAAAGTTGATGGTAAATCTTCTAAGATGGACTCAAGAGGGAGCAAGTATTATAAACAATAGAGGGCCAAGGACAGAGCCTTGAGGAACCCCAGTGGTTACATCAGTGGGTGCTGAAGTAAACATATTCATCTGAATGAATTGAGTTCTGTCTGTGAGATATTTAAGCCAATTATGAAATACTTATTGAAGATAATCTTCTCAATAGAGTGGAATGACCATTGGTGTCAAATGCAGCACTGAGATTAAGGAGAACAAGGATGTTTCTATTAAATAGTGTATGAATACAGTCAAAAAATAATTTGATCAATAAAACTTGATACATTTGACTGACTTTGAATTCTTTCATAATTTAAAAAAATATTTAAAACCATAATAAGTAAATAAGCAAAGCACTTCTAGAATGGTGGGATTGATCAAAATAAACATCAAAACATAACTGTTAGTATAAAATGCTCACTGACCATCCTCTGTCATCGTCCTCAGCCAGCTCCTCCACGTCCTCCTCCTCCTCTGGACCCTCTGTGATGGCAGATGACAGCTTGGACTTGAAGTTATTAAGCAGAGCCAGAGTCTGCCACGTCAAACATAAATAAAACATCTATGTTACATTTTAAAGTGATCACAGTCAAAGACTTGACACTGAACAATTTCAGTAAATTAAAAGGACATGTTGAAATCCTTTACCTGCTCTTCTCTGTTATTGCTTCTTTTACGTTTTTCTTTCCTCAGATCTTCATACTTCTTTCTTTCCTCCAGGTATTCAGCAACAGCCTCACTGGACGGCTTTTTCTCTGCTCAGAAAGATGACACGGTCACAGCTAGTTCACTTGGTTTTCATTTGAATCTTGATTCAGTTCAAGGATTGCTGTGGCTGAATCAATAGCTAAAACACACTTGCTTACCAAATAGTCTCACTGGACTGAGGAGCTAATGGCTAATAACAGAGTGACCAAGACCAGAGTGGATTTCAGGGTGACAGCATCTCAGGGGTTAGGAGTTCACCTTGGAACTGGTGGATTGCTACCCGGTTCAAACCCAGATTCTGTCTCTGTCAGTTGTGCACTTGGGCAAGACACTTAATTGCTGGTGGTGGGCAAAGGGATCAGTGGCGTCAGTGGCATCTTCGTATGATGCATCTGTCAGTGTCATGGACTGTATAGAATGGATGGAGCCTCCATATTGTCACCTTTAGGTTTATGAAGAGCGGGAATTAAGCCCCATGGGCGGCTTCCACTACCGCCATCTTGGCCGCTTCTCGCCGCTCCCAGAAAGTACAAAAATGGAGCTGAGAGCGAGGCTGTGAGAATGGGGAAAATAGATGTCTCTGCGCATGTGGGCGGGGCAAAAGACACAGAAACTGTAGTGGTGTTTTCCTTTATTAGTAAACAAGAGCCTTTCAGTTATTGCTTTAGAGCAGGGCTATTCAATTTCAGGCCTTGAGGGCCGGTATCCAGCATGTTTTAGTTTGAACCCTGCTTCAACACACCTGATTACAATCAGCAGGTGATTAACAGACTTCTGCAGAGCCTGATGAGCTGCTGAACAGGTGACTCAACCACTGAATCTAGTGTGTTGGACCAGAGAAACCACTAAAACATGCTGGATACCAGCCCTCGAGGCCCAAACTTGAATAGCCCTGCTTTAGAGGTTTAACCCTTATTTTTCCCCAAATGAATCTAGTTACGTGAAATCATAACTCCACTTTTTTTTGTTTGCCTGTGGATCTCTACCTTTTTTCATATTTGAGGTCTCTTTTAGTTATAGTTACAATAGAGTGATCTGGGGCTTATTTTTGCTTTATTTTGTAAATAAAAGAAAATGTACTTTTAAAACTTCTACCACACGCCTGTTATGTTACGCAGTCCTTCCATTTACCATCACCGGTCGTAACAAAGTGTTTATAAGTCAAAAGAGGTGGATCGCTGTGAGATGATGGCAGCAAGGCTTTGGACAACTTTCCACCAAACTGCCCAATTCAAGTACGTCTGAAAACCCGTTATAATTAAGAGAAGCAACAATCAACATGTTGACATCAGTGTCTCATGCAGTAAATCTCCCAGCTGAGACACACACAGTCTGTCAGTTCGAGGAGTGGTAGACGGTGAGCACAGTCTGCTGGAGCACTTTCTTTCCACAACAAAAAGTGATGTCACACACACACACACACACACACACACACACACACACACACACACACATGCACACTCACGTGCGCGCACACACATACACACACACACACACACACACACACACACACACACACACACACACACACACTCGCAGCAAGCCTGGGAACAGTCTCTGACTGGATGATCGATGATCTGACACAGGTGCAACCAAATAGATGATGTCACAGAGTAAATGCCTAAATGCATTTGTTTATTAGCCAACAGGCATCAACGTAATCAGTGTCTTACTCTGTTTATTCATACAGCCTGAAAAATACAGACGACAGCAAGCTGCAACATTAATGCACAACATGTATTTGAGGGAAATGAAAATAAAGTAAGAGAATCAGCGGCCCACTTATGGTTTATCATACCAATTAAAAAAGTCCAAGTCAGAAAATCTTAAAAATTTATGAAGTGAAACTATTAGTTCAGGAACACTGAGATCTAAGGCAAACTCATGAGTCCATTTGCTTACAAAAGATTGGGTTTAAATTTAAGAAACTCAGTCCCTGAAAAATAGGGTAACGTTACAAACCGGTCCTGTCCCAGAGGTATACAGAACTGGCATATTAAATTAACTTTAAAGGCATAGAACATTGGAAAACCCTTTTTTAAAGATGATAATCAGTCACTCTTGAGTTTTCCATGCAGGCTGAACATGAAAATAGTCTCCTACACCTATCTCCTGTTTTAGCTTCTGATAGAAAATAGTTGGCGAAACTCTAGGATTTAAAAAGCGTGACAGATCTACATCATATTCAGTGCGGTTACACGCGCACTGATCAACATC